AAAATTTGCATAAAAATACGACTCCTGGGCATGTCTATGGTACGAATAAAATACGAACACCAGGAGAATATAAATATAAAAATATACTTTACTAAAAGCTGCCAAGCTTTCGTTTGGAAACTCCAAACATCATCAGGGCTAAGGAGCCAGTAAACAATGATGACTTAAATGGGTTTTGCCGGCATCTGCACCGGCTCATGGACCGCGTCACTGGTCCCGGCCGGTTAATTAGTGTTCCAGATGTTTCTTTATTACTCTCCTTGCGCTTCCTTCTATGGTTCTTCCGGATCATTCCTTCCACTATCTCATTACTAACATTCATCTCCTCTACCACCCCTTTATCCTTATTTCCTTCCATAGTACTGACCCTCATCCCTTTTTTGTTTTCATTTTCCACCCTGGGGGCATCCGTTTCTCCTCTATCAGTATTACAGGCCTCTCTGGGCTCACAGACGCTCCCCCCCACACACGGTTTTCTCAATCCCTGCTCCACACCCTTTCTTCTCACTCCTCCACTATCATGAGTAACTTTCATACGGGTGTTGTATATTTGGGGGTCTATGCCCTCCTCCTCCGTCCTGGCAATCTTCGTGTTGACAGTTCTCCACCGTTCCATTTGTTTGCTGCGTGATCGGGTGCTTACTCCGCCTCTCAATTCATCATCCCCCCTCCTCCCTATCACACGCTCTTCCCCATTGCTGGTAGGAACGGCATTCAGGCGGATGCACGAAGCTGAAAACACCATTCAGGCGGATGCACGAAGCTGAAAACACCAGCCTGAAGATGACGAATGGGACTTCGTCGAAACGTCGCCAAGACACTTCCAATTTTACGCAGGACAAAACCCGAACAACCAAAGACCTACATACAAACACCCGCGAAAACCTCAGAATATATATATGTATGTATGTATGTATGTATGTATGTATGTATGTATATGTATATGTATATATTGGGGCAGTAATAAAAGTATCTGAACACCAGGATAAAAATCTTAAACCAAAGCTGTTTAATCTACAAAAGTACTAAGCTTTCGTTGGCCAAACTACCGACATCGTCAGAGTGTAAAAACGCTAGATCCGGGAGTTTGTTTATATAACTGGCCGCCTCTGTGCTCTAACCCTTGAACGGATCATTTGTTCACTCATTAGTACCGGCCGTGCTGTTCTTAAAGGGCTGTGCTTGTCAATGCATCAGTAGCTTCCAAGGTTGCTTCCCTGCCCCCAGTCATTGTTATTCCCCTGGTGTGTGTGTGAGTGCCCAGGGGGCGGCTATCAGGTTGCTCCTGCTCTTCTCCCCCCCATCCCACTTATCCTGGGCTGTCCCCGTGTCTTCATCACCAAACTATCTATCCTACGCTTTTCAGATGTCATTCTCACATTTGCTAGTCTATTATTCCCCCTGTGCGTGTACCAGCACCTGGGTAGTAAATCCCCTGTTGTTGGGGTTCTTCACTCCCCCCCCCCGTGCTGCCTTCGGTGAGGTGTGCATATCCACCAGTGGGATGGCTGTCTGATGCGCCCTTGGGGTTGCTCCTCCGCTTGTCAGGCTCCTTTTCTCCTCGGCGCATGTGCGGGAGCGCAGGTAGTAGCTGTCTCGTCATTTGTCTTCGATGTTTCTCGCTCTTCTCGTGGCCAGTCGTGAGAACATCGAAGACAAACGACATATATATATTATAATTATAATTCAAGGACCTGTACTTTACATATTCTGAGAATATATATATGTAATGCTTTTAGTAATATAGACCTAATGCAGGGCACTGCTTCTCTTTTAGAGACATTGCACATTCTCAGAATATGTAAAGTACAGGTCCTTGAATTATAATCATTCGCTTAGCAACCATTGTAACAAAAATAAAAAAGGTCATTTAGAACCGGTCCTTGCATTTCTGTCACAGCATCCCCACAATCATGGGATTAAATGTCTATGGAGATTTAAAAGAAGGCAAATGACCAGCTGTCTGCAAGGAGTATAAATCTTTCCATTCCCCACCATCCAGCTAGAGCTGAAGAAGCTTCTTGGATGAGAAGCGAAACGTTTTCAAAGGAAAATAAGGAAGTCCAGTTGCCTCCTGAAAAAGCACCTTTGGGACAATCATGACCTGGATGACTGAGAATCTCCATAAACCTGTGGCTATGCACTTTGGGATGAACATCCTCTGAATGGGAGTATAAACGGATGTCCAGAATACTCTGCAGAACCATTTGCACTTCAGTTTGAGATGCAGACAATACAGACTCAACCCCAACAGCCTGCACCTGTCTTCAACAGTGAAGGGACCCAGGGCAGAAAATATCCAGCAGGCAAGAAGGCTCCACACCCAACTGCACCACTCAAGTGACCTTGAGGACCCAGATAAACCTCCAAGTGGCCTCAACAACCCTCTGAAAGAATGCAAATGGCTACAAGGAGTATAAATCTTTCCATCCTTCACTATCCATCTTCTCCTCTTGGATGAGAAGCAAAATGTCTTCAAAGAAAAACAAGAAAGTCCAGTTGCCTCCTGAAAAAAGCACCTTTGGGACGGTCACGGGGTTAAAATTCAGGTGCTTGGCAACTGACATGTATTTACACCAGTTGTAGCCTCCCAGGATCATGTGATCGCTGTTTCGGACCTTCCCAGCATGCTTCTGAGAAGCAAAGTCAACGAGGGAAGCCAGAATCGCCTAACCGTCCCGCAATTCACTTAATAGCTGCAGCGATCTATTTAATAACCCTGACTAAAAGGTGGTCAAATTGGGCATGACTCACTTCATAACCACCTTGCTCAGCACAAGGAAATTCTGGTCCCAAATTGTGGTCATAAGTCGAGGTTTACCTGTCTACTATACGGAAATGCAAAAACAGAGCATGTCATTGCAAGGTCTTCTAACCTTCTAAGACTACAAAGCCCAGATATTTTGGGAAGTAAGTTCAGGGCGGCTTCCGACAAGAAGAGCACAACAAAGAGGCTGAAATACCCACAGCAAATTGACAACACATGGGTGAAGGTTCGTTCTCCAAGCTTGGGGTTTGGTTTCCAAATGTTTCGTTACCAGGCTAGGTAATATCTGTAGCGGAGTTCAGGGGAAGTCGGTGTTGGTGTTCTTCTGCTTATAAAAGGGCTTCAAGTGTGAGTATGTGGAGTTGGACACATCGACCTACAACCAGCCTACGAATCCCTCAGAATCCAAATCAACCACACAGCCAACCAGAGACAGCACAGATCCTCAACCATCCCGCACAATCCCCCACTTCCACCACCAACAACATCCAAGCTTCAGATACTTGCCATTGTTGCAAACTGATAACATCTCCATGGGCTGAGAAAGAAGGATTGGCCCAAGAGCACAGCTGGCTTCATCGCTAAGGTGGGACTAGAACTCAGGGTTACCTGGTTTCTAGTATGATGCCTTAAACCACTACACCAAATTAGCCCTTTGGTTTGAGGTGAGTAGCCAAGAAAACAATCACTTTTTGAGGAAAGAAACTGGATAAAACTACTGTCAACCTATGAGGATTGCTTGCATTAGGACCGCTATGCTTCTTCTAGCTTGCCTACGGTTGCAAGGGGTGGAGGGAAAGGTTTGGAATGCATAGGTGGATTTTATCTGGATGGGAACCAAGGTCACCGAAAAGATGCTGTGGTGGACAGAGACGTTCGTCTCATAACAACTGCCTGAGGATTAATTAGACAATGTGTCCTGAACTGTCAGAGAGAGGAAGGGAATTTTTACTCTTTTAATAATCTTTTTCCCGTCATATTGCCAGAGCTGGTTTTCAACTCTTTAGTGCCGGTATGCTGTCCCCAATAAAGTTTTGCATTAGAGATCTAAATGATACTGGTGTATTTACTTTGTTGGGACCGTAAGCCGGAACCTTGACAACTAATTTATTGGCTATGTTCACACACATGCTTAACCAGTGAGTTACGGGTTTTGCAGATGTTTTTGAATAATATCCTAAGCTTGATTAGTCTTAGCCTTTGCTAGTCATGTAGTCGTTTAATGGATCGACTCAGGACAATATCTTTGGTTATTTTTATGGTTCACTGTATCCTGTGAATGCAGAAAATGAATGAATTCAGCATTCAGCTTAAAAAGGGGATGGAAGAATATAGCCACTACACAAATGGTAAATAACTAGTCCTCAATTTATGACTGGTGTCCTATCTCCCTGGGGGTACTTACAACCCAGTTCTGAAGTTCTGAAGACTGCCCCCTCCAATCATGTGACTGCATGTTTGGTTATTGCCATTCGGTCCCCTATTTACGGTCATTTGCGGCATCCCACAGTCACATAACCATGTTTTATGATGCTTTTGTTGAAAACTGGCATTTACTTGTATTTTCTGCCAAAACTGGCCCAGAGGGGACCATTGTTTCATTGAATGACCATGGTATTTGCTTAACGACTGCTGCCAAAAAGATCACAAAATCAAGTCGGTCATGTGGGTGACCCATATTAAAAACCCTTATGATTTATGACGATGATGGGCAGACTCCATTACCATCTTAAGTCAAGGACTACCTGTATATGCCTCCCTATGAATGGACCTTTCGTTAAAATAAAACAAATTCAGAAATATTGCTGCGAAATACAAAGAACAGCTGATAAATTTTTAACCACCATACGTAATAGTGTCATCATTTTAAAATAAAAGGGCAAGTAACTATTTAAAGCAGGGGTGTCAAACTGCCGCCCCTGCAGGCCTGACACGTCACCAGGAAACCACGCCCACCCCATTGTTGGCAATGGGGAAAAAGCTCCGATACGTTGCGCGACGTCACTTGACGTCGCGAGTTTGACATGTCTGGTTTAAAGGAAAAGCTCCTTTGCAATTCACCATGTAGTTTTGAGATTTCGAACCCGTAATAAATCTGCATTGATAGGCTTTTGTCACCACTAAATAATGTAACTTCCCCTCAAATGGTATAATAATAAAGGGCGCCTTCCAACATGCTGTTTTATTTGTATTTCTGACAATGTCTCTCCAGGTTGAAACATAATTAACTTACCCTTTCCAGTGTAATTTCTTCAAATTCATATTCAATCTCTGTACCGTTGACCTAAAAATGATATAAAGAAAATCTATTAATACCTGTGGGAAACATGTTTTCTGGAGGGTTAATGTTCTTTCAAATGTGATTAAGCATAACGTTACAATTTATTTATTTATTTATTTTAAAAAGGTCAGTGCGACTTTCTCATTCAAATCAGTGAAACATTTTATCCAGGGAACAGCGGACTTGCAGTTATGTTAACAGGAAAACTCTCTCCATGAGAACTGATCTGTCAAACACTGGGACAATAGTCCTCAGTTTGGCAACCTTTCATTTAGTGACCGTTTGAAGTTAGAACGGCACTGAAAAATGTGACTTCTGACCGTTTTTTCACACTTACGACCATAGTAGCATCCCCCTGGTCATGTGATCAAAATTCAGATGCTTGGCAACTGACTCATGTTTGTGACGGTTGCAGAGTTCCGGAGTCATGTGACCCCCTTTTCCGATCTTCTGACAGGCAAAATGGAGAAGCCCAACTCCCTTTAACAACCAAGTAATACTAAATTAGCAACTGCAGCGATTCCCTTAACAACTGTGGCAAGAAAGTTCATAAAATGGGGCAAAATTCCCTTGACAACTGTCTCACTTAGCAACAGAAAATCTTGGGCTCACTTGTGGTCATAAGTCAGAGACTACCTGTATTTTAAATCCCTTTTCCTAATCATTTCTAGTGGGCTTAGATGTGGGACTAACAGGAATTCACAGGGCTATAGGCCAGAGGTCTTCAAACATGGCCCTTTTATGATTCGTGGATTTCAACTCCCAGAATTCCTCAGCCAGGCATGCTGGCAGAGGAATTCTGGGAGTTGTAGTCCACAAGTCATAAAAGGGCCAAGTTTGAAGACCCTTGTTATAGGCTAAAGATTTTTTTTTAAAAAAAAATAAAAAATTCTGTGGTCGTAATTCATGAAGTCACTAATAAGTGAGCTTGACTGAAAAAGACTTTACCTTTTTTAATTGATTGATTCATTTGTTCATTATCTGTTATCAAGCCAGCCTTGATTCTTTGCAACTGCATACTTTTTTTTGCAAGGTGATACCTTTCTTACTTAACCCAAAAGGGGTGGGGTGGGGGAACTATTTTACCTTTTACCTAACAATAAATGTCTCGGGATAAATTCCATATTTTTTTTTCTAGTTTACCAAGTTCTACACAAGTAAAATTTAATCCTTTTGAAGTTTCATTGAATGCCTTGTCCCTGTTTAGTTGTTGTTCAAGTATTTACATTTTAATCCGCATTTTGGGACTTGACTACGGTTTCAAAGATCGAGTGAAAAAGACTCATTTTGGACTGGGTTAGAACAGTTCAAAGAGATCTGAGACCAGCTTAGATAATGAACAAAGCTTCTACAATGAGGCCTCTCTCCATGTTTAAAAGCTCAATAATCCCGTCCATGCCTAAGACTCTGTACCCTTGTCCGTAATACCTTAACATAAATTGCTATCATTATATTTTAATACCAGCTTCAGACAATGTATTTAGTGTCCTCTTCTACCTTGCTAGCTCTCTTCAGTGACGTTTTTTTTTTCCTTTGCTTCGTCAATACTGCCAGCTTTCCTTTGTGTTAAAAAGCAGTCCTCAAGAGTTGCGCAAAAAGACTGGTCAACATCTTTCTGACCCCTTGCATAATGTCAGAATTATGAAAATGAGGACTTATATAACCCATGGATTGCCCGCGCAGTATTCTTAATGCAAGAAAACGGAGGAACGAAAAACAAACAAACAGAAAAGACATTTTCAAAGTAAGCTATTCTATGGGATCATTTTTTCCCAATGGCATATGGTGACTGTTTATAAATTTGCTTCTGAGTTACCATAAGATACAGTGGTGAACAGGAGATAGAATGGAATGGAACGGAACGGAACAGAATAGAATAGAGCTGGAAGGGACCTTGGAGGTCTTCTAGTCCAGCCTCCCACTCAAGCAGGATAACCTAGTATACAATCTCAGACAAGTGACTGTCCAGTCTCTTCTTAAAAACCTCCTCCTCCTCCTCCTCCTCCTCCTCTGCAACGTTGCTAATTCTCTTTCCCTTCATTGGGAGCTATATATAATAGTTTTGATGACAAATCTGCCCCCTTTAAAGGCAATTATCTTTTCTGTAATAAGAAATAAGAGCCACCTAATTGGTTTACCAGAATTCAATAATGCCATAATCACTTCTGTAGTGTTTAGTGGATTTACTAGCCACCTTCATAAATGTTTGACTCACTTTGTATTCCATCTAGTTTTCCATTTTCTGACTTTAGGGAATTCTCACATATAATTAAGTCTTCCATATAGAACACTCAGTGTCCGATATAGCAAGTTTAGTTTGGAACATTGGATATAACATTCTGTTGCTGGTGATTTTATTTTTCAGTTGATTGTGTTATTAACATCTTCTTCCTCAGATTGTATTCAATGTCATTGTCCTAATATAGAAATTGTTTCTTAGTCTGTGACTTCGTCCTTCCCTTCACCCACAATTCATGAAGAAGCTTTCCAGACTCCATGTTGTAAGTAGAGGTAGACCTCAACATACGATTGACTTCCCAGGGCTATTTACAACCTGGATTTGAAATTTGTTCGCCCACCCCCCATATATATGTTATTAAGTTTTGTAGGGATAGGGTTAGAGTTAAGGTTAGGATTAGGGTTAGGATTAGGGTTGTTTTTTTTTTAAATAACATTCTTAATATTTAGCAAACAGCATATTGTCTGGGTTCAAGCATTTAAAAAACAATAAGAGTTAATTTCTATATTATCATAATCAATATATTAGTTAATCGCTCAATAGTCTTTTTCTTACTAGTATATATTCAGTGTTACATAGTACATATCATGTTCCTTTCTCTCTAACTCGCTTTTTTAGCCTGGATTTGAAATTCTAATGGCTGCCCCCCCCCCATCCAGTCACATGATCGCGTCTGAGGCACTTTGTAATTAGCTCTAGTTATGGGTATTTACAGCATCCCGGAGTCACATGACCACAATTTACAACATTTTTTTTGTCAGTTTCCTTTGCTTCTTGTCCTACCTGCTTTAGGTAATACAAATCCCCTCTTCCTGTGGCACCCCTGAGATATCGGAACTCTTCTATCATGTCACCCATAGTCCTTCTTTTCATTCAACTAGACTTATCCAATTCCTGCAACCGTTCTTTTTAAGTTTTAACCTCCAGTCACCTAATTGTCTTTATTACTCTTCTCTTCACTCTTTCTGGAGTCTCAAAATCTTTTTTACATCATGGCAACGAAAACTGGATACAGTATTCCTTGTGTAGTCTTACCATGGCATTATAAAGCAGTACTAATACTTTGTGTGATCTTGATTCTATCCCTATTAATAGGATAGGATAGGATAGGATAGGATAGGAGAATGGAATGGAATGGAACAGGCTAGGACAGGACAGGATACAGGTCAGCAACCTGTGGCTCCAGAGCTGCATGTGGTTCTTTGAGCCTTCCCCTGCGGCTCCCAGCCTCCTCTGCCATTTGCAGAAAGAGACAGACAGGCACTTGCACCTCTCTCTCTCTCTCTCTCTCTCTCTCTCTCTCTCTCTCTCTCTCTGTGTGTGTGTGTGTGTGTGTGTGTGTGTTGCTCTATGTGTGTGTGTCTGTGAGTGTAAAAAAAAGAGAGTGGACTCACGGTGTTCTCTAAGAGCTGAAAAGCTTTTTGGGCGTGGCTCCTCCCTTTGCTGTCTCAGCAGGAAGCAGGAAGGGCAGGAGAGAGTTAGCTAGCCCAGCTATGCTGACTCAGGAATTCTGGGAATTGAAATCCATGAGTCATAAAAGAGCCCAGGTTGCCTACCTCTGAGCTTGTTGGAGAACAGCTTGAAGCCAGCTTGCCAGATGAGCAGAAGATTGGAGAGAGGGAGGGAGGGAGAGAGAGAGAGGAAAGAGAGAAAAAGAAAGAATGGGGGAAGAGGACTGGCAGACCAAGGGCAGAAAGAGAGAGAGAGAGAGGGAGAGAGAGAAAAGGAGAAAGAGAGGGAGGGGGGGGAGACAGAGAGAGAGAGACCCTTTTGACATCTAAAATGAAGATAACACTACATATACCCTTTTTACCTCTATGAGATATGTATGTATGTATGTATGTGCATGTATATGTATGTATGTATATGTGTGTGTATGTATATATATATGTATGTATGTATGTATATGTGTGTGTGTGTGTGTATGTGTATGTGTATATATATATATATATATATATTAAAAAAGGATATATGCAGTGTTATCTTCATTTTAGATATCAAAAGGGTTTTGCGGCTCCCAGTGTTTTGTTTTCAGTGGGAAACAGGTCCAAGTGGCTCTTTGAGTGTTTTGGGTTGCCTACCCCTGCCCTATACTATACCTGTGCATTTGGTTTTTCTTGCCTAAATGTAGAACTTTACTTTATGAACAACATGGAACCATTTTTACTTTTGTACAGAGGCAAGTTTGCCCTTTTGTCAGAAAACTGCGGTGTTTAAAGACTTAACCACCAAGACATAAACAGTTTTATGGATATTAACCTGCAGGTATCTGCTAGATTAGTCTATAAGCACAGTCAAGCAAACAGGTCCATTTCAATCTTAGTTTTCTAGGATGAGCAGCCGGTAGAAAAACAGGACAACCACCTGGCAGTTATTGTTTAGGACTGCTTTTATTTTCTAATCCAGTCAATCTTTTGGAGGAAATTATTCCGATCAAGTACACATGAGACAAAGTTAATTTGTACAACCATGGAGAGGTTTTGCTTCTCCAGTGCAGTGGGAATATGGACGTGCCTTGCTTGATGGAAGGCTGATTATAAATTGAGCTATAGTCCAGGTGTTTCTCATTAAGCTCGTGGTTCTTGGTTAGTGAGTCCCTCAATTATGTAAGGTACGATTTAAAAAATGAAGAGTCTCAAAGGTTTTATGGGTATATAAAATACCCATCCTTCCACAAGTACTCCTCAACTTATAACCACAACTGCAATTAGACTTTCCGTTGCTAAGCAAGGCGGATGCGAAGTCAGTTTTATCGTCTTCTTTG